GGAGAAAAAATTGATGCAATTCATTCTTCAGAAGGATGAACTTGAAAAAAAGAAGTTCCCCTGTAATCTGGGGACAGTTTTCAAGTGATTTCTCTGTTTTGTTCTGTGTCTGCTCTCTCATTTTCTCTTTCTGTCCGAGTTTCCCCAGAGATTGTGGTATCCAGTAGATTAAAGAAATATGACTGTGAGAATAATGGGGCCCAAAAGCTTGAGAGATACAGTTGCAACATCACGCATATCGGGAGCAAATGCCAGTTGAGGAAGATGGCTTACAGGTTTCCCGGGGAGCCCAGTGATCTCTAACCCCAGCTGTAACAGCATCTCGGGAAGAACCTCCCACACACAGATGCCTTAGACACAGGATGGGGACTCCTATAACTGGTTACATTTGGCCTCTGAGTTCTCTCTGAAAGTTGGCAGAGGCTGTGTCACACACACATATAGGAAGACGCGTCTGTGGCATGATCCTCTCCAAAGCCCTGGTCTCAATGCGGGTGGCGGTGGCTCAGGGTCGAGAGCTTATGCGGGAGCTCTGGGGTCACCAGAAGGAAGCTTTGAAGGCGGCTGAGGTTGAGTTTATGTTAACACCCTCAGTTTTGGCTACTGTGGTTACTTCACTAAACCTCAAAAGGGTGAATTAGAAGGCTGGAAATAGTACAAGAAGAGCCCTGCTGGGGACGCAGCTTCCCATTCCTCGCCTGGACACGCAGACCCTGATCTTGATGTGTTGAATTTCTTTTGTGCTGTCCCAATTTCTGGTCTATATTGTGCCTGAACCGCAGGGAAAACATAAAAATAAAAGTATTCTTTATTAACGCACAGAGAACCAGCTGAAAGCCTTACAACCTTTTAACACAGGCCAAACAATTCATAAAAGAGAGGTCAGTTATTGGTGCTGCGTGTGTTTTGTTTCTGCATCCCAGGGCCCTTGCTCCCCTCTGGCTGTCTTCCTTTGCAGGGGAAAAGGGGGAGCCCCATGTGTGTCCATGGGATGTCTCTGCAAGGATATGTTCCCCGTGCATGTGGCTTTGTGTCAACACATAGGCCCCACACTAGGGATGATGCAGGGTCAAGATGGGGAGCAGAGAGAAACAGCTGACAGGGCAGTCATCCCATCCACTTAGAACTCACTTTCTTATAGCGCCTCGATCCTCTGCTGTCAAACACACGAACTCACGACTTACTTCACTTCTTCCTTCCTTTCTCCTCCTACTTCCATCGTTTCACCTCCAGTGTTTGCATTTCCTGTTGCTTGCTTTTTTTTTTGAGACGAAGTTTCACTCTTGCTACCCAGGCTGCAGTGCAATGGCACGATCTCGGCTCACCGCAATCTCCACCTCCTGGGTTCAGGCAATTCTCCTGCCTCAGCCTCCTGAGTAGCTGGGATTACAGGCACGCACCACCGTGCCCAGCTAATTTTTTGTAATTTTAGTAGAGACGGGGTTACACCATGTTGACCAGGATGGTCTCGATCTGTTGACCTCGTGATCCACCCGCCTCGGCCTCCCAAAGTGCTGGGATTACAGGCTTGAGCCACCGCGCCCGGCCTGCTTGCTTTTTTGACTTCCTCTTTCCCGCCTTCTCCTGTCCCCTTGGTATAGATATTGCAAGAGTATAGATTATCTGAGTAGTGTGTCCATTTCTGTTGCTTACCAGTGTGTGGGTTTTAAAAAGAATATGTGAGTAAAAGCATGTGTGTACATATGTGTGTGTGTGTATGTACACACGTGTACAAGAAAGTGAGGGCATAAAAGTGTGAGTGCTTCTGAGAGATGTGAAGTGGCAAACAAAATATACTATTGGAAACAAACCAAATGGCAAATGGACCTACTGGTGGTTCCGCCTTCCAAAGGGGCTCTTATTATTCACGCTGGAGGTAGCATGCCATATCATTCCTCTTTGCTTACAAAGACTGCTGGGGAAGTTTGGCCAGCCTAAGAATTTGACCGTGCTAGAAAGTCACACCCCGTTTGTTTTCCAGAGCAACCTTAATGAGTTCTGGGATAGCTAAAGTGGGCTGGGTACCTTTGAAGTAGGGGATGGAGGGCTGCAGTGTTTTGCAGAAGAAAAGAATAGTCAGCCATGAAAAGGAGGAAGCTGGAGCTGGTCCTGAGAGAAAGAAGAAAGTCACAATCAGAGGCACAAGGCCAAAAGACAGCCAGCAAGAAACTTTCTAATGTGGGATTGGCCAATGGAATTTTGTTTTGTTTTGTTTTTGAGATGGAGTCTTGCTGTGTTGTCCAGGCTAGAGTACAGTGGTGAAATCTTGGCTCACTGCAATGTCTGCTTCCCAGGTTTAAGCTATTCTCCTGCCTCAGCCTCCCGAGAAGCTGGAACTACAGGAGTGTACCACCATGCCCAGCCAATTTTTGTATTTTTAGTAGAGATGGGTTTCACCATGTTGACCAGGCTGGTCTTGAACTCTTGGCCTCAAGTGATCCACCTGTCTCGGCCTCCCAAAGTGCTAGGATTACAGGCATGAGCCACAGCATGCCACCCAGCCAGTGGAATTTTAATGCAGTGATGTGCTCAGTGGGTTACTCTGATACCCTGTGATGAAACTACTTTAACTGTTTCGTTGCAAACTTGTTTAACTTCAAACTTCTTCATGCACCGATCATACAGAACTGGCTCCAGATAGTGGTATTTGGAGAAAGTCAAGTGAAGAGATATTGGTTCTAAGTTTATATTGGGCAGGGAAAAGAGAACACCCATATGAGACATAAATGAGAGGGAATGTTCTACAAGGTCAGGAACTTGGAGAAAGTGACTACGAGAAGCTTAAGTTCCTTTAGAAAGCCCACATATTTTAGGAGAGAGGTCTCTTGCCTGTCTCTGAAGACAGGGGATGAAGGCAACTTATGTAGATATTCATGGAAAAGTCGACCTTACAACTTTGTCACAGTTGACTTGGGAGGTCTGAGAGTCTAAGGCTTATGTCTCTCTCTCTCTCTCTGTCTGTCTCTCTCTCTCTCTCTCTCTCTCACACACACACACACACACACACACTTCTTACTGAACAACCGACCTGATATTGATGGAGAGTCTTATTCCCTATAGCTAAATAAGTAAACTCCTGCTGCTACTCAACCAGAAATTCTGGTGTGCACAGAGTTGCAGAGTTGAGAGACTACTCCACTGGACCCTAAGGACTGGTAGTAGAGGCTGCCCCCTAGGACTTCAGATTTAGGGTTATATTTGCATTGGTTGTCTTCTCTGTTCCTGTCATCTTAGTAAGATGCGTCTCTTTCCATCAGATTTTCAGGGCAGTTCTTGATACATGTCTTAATGTGTGCCCCAGATCCTGCAAAGCAAACGTGCTGAAATCTAACCATATTGGGGGCTTGACAAACAAGGGGAAAGAGGTTAAGTTGCTTTTTCTAGATTTCCTTATATAATTTTTTTTTTTTTTTACTGGAATAGTAAAGTGAATGAGAATTTGGTAAAGAGAAGCCTCCACCAGACCCCTCTGCCCACTTCCAAGTTCCTAACCTCTTGCATGCCTGAATTTTGTAAGTGGATGAAGTTTTGTGTTTGCTGGACTGACCTGAAGTGAGGAACCACCACACATATCTTTGTCTTCACTCTCTCCGTCTGTCAACTGCATTGTTCCCTCACCTCTTCCCGCAAAGTACCATTATGTCTACACCTTAAGAATGAAGAGTGAAGAGAGAACAACAAAATGTTCCTGTTTATCAGGAGATGGGGGTGACCTGAGCTTTCCACAAGGTCCCGAATGGACAAGTAGGACCCAAAACATATGGAAAATATGGAGAATAGGGTATAAGTAATAAAAATAAAAATAAAATACATTGGGAATGCCAGATTCTGGTAATGATTTGTTTTCACAGTAACTGAGAACTCCCATAAACCTGCGATTAATCACACATTTATGGTGAGGGTAAGCTGGGAGAATTAGGGGGCTCGTTGGGACTTGGGTTATTAGTGCAGCTGCTTTTCATTGATGAGATCTGAGTTCAAATCTCAACCGATGTTACAAATGAAAATGTCATTTTGAAAGTTAATTAGCTCCATGCAATAAATACTGGCTGCTTGATTGATGTACCTAAAAATTCACTACTCAGAAAAAAATTATATATATATCTGGCCTGTTAAGAGAGTCAAGTCAGTGAAAAAGTCAGACATTATTTAAACAATTTGCTTTTCTTAATAGTCCAACCACCTGCAAGTAAACAGAATTTATTAAAAGAAGGTGGAGCTTCTAGTAGTCAGAGCATGTGAAAGAATGTCTGAACATATTAAGAACTGTAGAATTTTAGAACTAGAAATAAAATCTTTAAAAGCCATCTAATCTAATCCTTGTTTTTTTTAATAGAAGGAGGAATGAAAACAGGAGGTTAAGTGACTTGCTTAAGTCACACAGTTAACTAGTGGGGAAGCAGGACTGGGTTCCAGGTGTCCTGGCAATCTTATGCGCTCTCTGAATTAGTCTTACAGACTTTGAGCGTCATTCTCCCGGCGCTGCCCTGGGTGCTGAGCCTCTCTCCATGGCTCATCCTCGTGGCCTTTTCTTCAGTATGTTCTGTGCCTTAGAAGGTTCTGTCTTCTCATCATCCAAAAAAATGCAAAACTTCTCTGCAGTTTTTTTAAAAAATGAAGAAACTTCCATTAGAATTGTCATTCTGCTCTCACAGGTAGAAATACACTAGCAACACACACAACTGTGTTGTCTTTACATCAGACATGCGAAAATTGAATTCAGAACTCAGTGGGAGAATTAGGAGGCTCCTGCATGAATCTGGTAAGATTAGAGAAGTAAGAGAGCAGACAGCTATTTCACCTGAACCAATATTCTGTAAGGTAATTTTGTCCAGACCAGTGAAAATGTCAGCCATGAAGTCCTTGGTCGCTTTATTTACCAGTTTACAATTTCAGCTGCTCTTGATCTTGAGATAATGCCTTCTATGTAGATAATGCCTTCATTGGGTGGCAACGTAGCTTGACTAAGACCATTTAAGGTGATTCTGGTGAACATTCAGGAAGAAAAGAGGAGGCGTGGAGGAAGGCTCTCATCTTATACAATACATCTGTCACCATGGATGGGATGCCAGTAGAAATGAGGACGGTAAAGGCCACTCTGGGGAGATCTCAGACGGAAATGAAGAACTCGTTCTTGGAACCTGGAGGAAAGGCGATTCTCCTTGTTATAACGTTTCTCTCACAGGTAAGGAGACATTAGCAACCCACACAACTTCCATCCCTTTACATCAGACATTGTAAAATTGAATTCAGAATTCAGTGGGGGAATTAGGGGACTCCTGTGTGAATTGAATAAAATTAGGAAAGAGAGCTGGGCACGGTGGCTCACGCCTGTATCCCAGCAGTTGGGAGGCGGAGGTGGGTGGATCACCTGAGGTCAGGAGTCTGAGAACAGCCTGACCAATGTGACGAAATCCCTCCTCTACTAAAAATACAAAAAATTAGCTGGGCATGGTGGCAGGTGCCTGTAGTCCCAGCTACTTGGGAGGCTGAGGCAGGAGAATTGCTTGAATCTGGGAGGCTGAGGTTTCAGTGAGCTGAGATTGAGCCACTGCACTCCAGCCTGGGTGACCAGAGCAAAACTCAACCGCAAAAAGGAGAGAGAGCAGATAGCTATTCCACCTGAGCCATAAAGTGGTTATAGGTGTCAACAGACTTGGTTGAATCGTATTCTCGTGTTTTGTGGAAGGTAAAACTTGCAAGTGATGGAATTGCGTATTGAGCTGAGGAGATTCCTAAGCAAAGTATTGGATTGGCTTCATTTCCCCTTGCTGCTGAGAGTAAGATGTGAGAGGAGGGAGCTGTATTGAAAGCACTGTTGGGCAAAAAGGAACTAGTACTTGAAATTTTGCAAACTGTTCAGCCTATGTTGCAGAAAATGACAGAGTATGTTCTGAACTGAACAAGTATTTGATCAGGATATTAGCCTGGGTGTGACCCACAGTTCTAAGCAGCCATTGCAGCAGAAGCCAGAAAGAGAGATGCAATCCTAATAGCAGAGAAACTCCGTTGGAAACTAAAAAGGACAGAGAAAGTAGAACAGAATGAAGGGAGGCAGCTGGACTTCTGGGATTCTACTGGACAAGTCCATAGAGCTTTCTGGCTTTGAACATGCATTGTCCTTTATGAAAAGGGAAGAATGACCTTTCAAGCAATTCAGAGACTGTAGGGCTTCCACTGCTCCCACAGGCCCGGGGGTAAATCTAATTCCTTCTTGGCTTCAGCTGGCCAGGTGTGGGGTCGAGGGCTCCTTGCAGAGCAGAAGCGGATGGCAGTTCTATGGAGCCAGTGGGGTAACACTGCCACTCCCGGGGTACTGGAAGACAGAGCATAGAACCAAAGAGGATTATTCTCAAGCCTCAAGATCTAATAGAATTTGCCTCATCAGGTTTTGAACTTTCTTGAGTCCCATCCCCGCTTTCTTCCTTCTGATTTCTCCCTTTTGGAATGGAAATGTCTATTCTATTCTTGTTCACTACTATATTTTGGAACCATATAACTTGGTTTCACAAGTTCACAGCTGGAGAGGAATTTTGTTTGCCTCGGGATAAATTGTATCTTGCATAGTTGCTTCAGATGATATTTATTTTTATTTATTTATTTATTTTTGAGACTGAGTCTCACTCTGTCACCCAGGCTGGAATGTAGTGGTACAATCTCATCTTATTGCAACCTCCAACTCCTAGGTTCAAGTGATTCTCCTGCCTCAGTCTACTGAGTAGCTGGGATTACAGGCACCCACCACAAACATCCAGCTAATTTTTGTATTTTTAGTAGAGATGAGGTTTCACCATGTTGCCACGCTGGTCTCAAACTCCTGACCTCAAGTGATCCACTCGCCGTGACCTCCCAAAGTCCTGAATTACAGGCATGAGCCACTGTGCCTGGTCAGATATTTAGATGAGACTTTGGTCTTTAGACTTTAGACTTAATGCAGAAATGAGTTAAAACTTTATGGGATATTGGGATAGAATAAATGCATTTTATATGTGAGAAAGACATAGATTTTGAAGGACCTGGGGCAGAATGTTACAGACTGAACATTTCTGTTTTCCCCTAAATACACATGTTGAAACCCTAACTCCCAGTGTGGCGATATTTGGAGATGGGGCTGCCAAGTAAGTAATTAAGGTTAAATGAGGTCACAGTGGTGAGCCCTGATCTGATAGGATTGGTGTTCTTAGGAGAAGAGACAGCAGAGATCTCTCTCTCTGTCTCTGTAAGAGAACAGAGAAAGGTTATTGTGAAGATTGCAAGGAGGCCATCTGTAAACCAGGAAGAGAGCCCTCACCAGAAACCAAATTAACCAGAACCTTGATCTTGGACTTTTAACCTCGAGAACTATGAGAAAACAAATTTCCGTTGTTTGACCAATTCTTCTGCCTTCCCTTTCTACTTATGAGGATTTATGTGATTAGATTGGGCCTACCTAAATCATGCAGGTTATTCTTCTTATTTTAAGGTCCATGAGATTAATTTTATTTGCTTTGTTCCTTTTTCCATGTAATGAAACATATTCACCATTTTCAGACATTAGAGTAAGGACATTTTTGGGAGGCTATTACCCTGACCACCACAGAGATAAACCTTCATTAAAGTTCTACTTTTTATGTTTGGTGATTATCTATAAAATATTTAATATTGCATGTAGTTCTGCTGAATTACAGACTACTAATAACTGCAAACATAATTCAGTCCAAAAAAGATTTGTGGTCATAGGAAATAAAACGTTCAAGTTTCTATTTAAAATTTTAAATTAAATACATTTTTTTGGTTGTTGTAGACAAGCATCCAAAGATATTCAATACAATTATAGAAGCATAAACTATATTAGGATAAAAATACAGAGAGAGAGAGATGACTATAAACTAAAGGAGAAAACAAAACTAAGTCAAGTTTCCAAATCCTAAAGAAGAGGCTTTAATATATGAGGATGAGTATCAAGTAATAGTTAGATTTATATAACACTAAAAAACTAAGAGAAATATTTTAAATGTCAATACTTAAAATATTGTAACACTTTAAGAAAAATATTGAAATATGAAAGTGTTTATAATTTGAAAGCATTTATAATTTCAGAAAATTTTACTGGTAAGTGAGCAAAAAATTATAAAATTATTGCTTTAGAGCACATATTTTCTTTCATCTTCACTTACACTGAATAGATTTTAATTAAAATTTTAAAATTAAAAGTGTTTTTGCCAGTTTGGCAACTAGTATGTGATGCTGATTTCGTTTGTAATTTTTATTTTGTTATTTACCTGATTATATGCTTTATCTACTTTTCAATTGGACCTTGTTTCTTGGTTTTTATGTTATCCTTTTGAAATGTACATATTTTTAATGTAAATGTTTAAAATTTCAATGCATTCAAATATATTTGTACTTTCTTTGATGGCTTTTGCTTTTTCTGTTTGTGTTTTACAAAGAATTTTCTTATCCTAAGGTAATATTTTAACACTTTCAATCTTTGTTTTGTTTTTTGAGAAGGAGTCTTGCCCTGTCACCCAGGCTGGAGCGCAGTGGCGCAATCTCCGCCCACTGCAACCCTCAAGTCCCACCCAGTTCAAGAGATTCTTCTGCCTCAGCTTCCCAAGTAGCTGAGATTACAGGCGCCCATCACCACGCCCAGCTAATTTTTGTATTTTTAGTAGAGACAGGGCTTCACCATCCTGGCCAGGCTGGTCAAACTTCCATTTGTTTTAATGTTTAAACATTCAATCCTTTTAAATTTACATTTTCAGATTATGAGAAGAATCTTTGTTTTCTATCTCTAATGACTAGTCAATTTTACCACAAACCATTTATTCAGTGATCTACCCTTTCTCACTGTTTAAAATACTTTGAATACTATGTACATTCTGATTTCCAGATGCATACTTCCAACCCAAGTCTCCTTCCAGAGATCCAGACCTTAATGGCTAAATGCCTTTCAGATGCCCCCTCTAGGAAGTTTATAGACATTTTGGAACAAATATGTTTAAACACAATAGACCATACTTCCAAGGAACACCTACAAGATGACAGTCACATTAGTAGACATTCTGCTCAACCCAACAGGGGTAATTTCAGAGAATCACCACAAGGCAGGTCCTGTTATTATCATCTCCATTTTACAAATGAGGAACCCCAAAACCATTTGAATGGTAAAGATATTCATGCATAGGGGTTGAGATGGGTTTGAACCGGGGTGGTCAGAGCCTAGGGAACATTCTCTCTCAACCACAGTGGTACTGATATTTACCTGGGGGGCCTGTTCCTGCTTTAGGCCACCCTCCTACTCTACCCCCTACCCAGGGTTCATAATCTCAGAAAATGGCACTACCATTCAGCCACATCAAGCAATGGCCAAGCATCAAAGGTTCTCCCTCCCAAATGTTGCTAACTCATTTCTTTGCTCTCTCTTGTTTCTCCTCGAAACCTTGGGTTACTTCTCAATGTCATCAAGATGCCTAATTGCTATAGTTTACTCTTCCCTGTTGAGCTGGCTTCTTCCTCTCTCTCTTATGATATTCTGAGGCTACCTTCCTTCTGACTTCTAAGCTCTAGCTCCACTTGCCTTCATATCGTCGTCCAGAGTATCAGGCTCTTCTGTGCCTCAAAGCCTTTACACATACCTTTTCTTTTATTCTTACCTCTGTGGATGTAAATAACGCCTACACATCATCTGGATCAAGTGACCCTAACCTACAAGACTAGTTTGTGTCCTCCCTTATGCTCTGATAGCACAGGGACTTGCCTTGGTTTCCCTAGTGCTGAACAACAGCAGCTGAACAATAGCCACTCTCAGCAGTTTCTTGAATACGTTAATGAATATATGAAGTAAGTTAATGAGTGCCTTCTGAAATCAACAGGTGTGTGTCTTTGGTGTATAGGTGTACTGATTCTAAAGAGAAAAAATCTAGGTGAGTAAAACACAGATTTCCAATTAGATCACTTTTTTCCCATCAATTATTATTGCTTTCTAAAAACATTACTGCAATACAGACAGAAGGACAATTAATTCTGTACATTTGTTTAAAAATCATCTCTCTATTTTTGTTTCAATTTTTTAATTGAATCATGTTTATATAAATAATCACATCATCCACAAATAATCATACCTTTGTTTTCTCCCTTTACATATTTGTACCCTTTATTTTATTTACCTAGAACTTCCAATATGATGTTAAATAACAATGGCACCCTCTTCTTATTTCCAGCCTTCGTGAACATTTTTCTAGCCAATCTGGATGACATTAGGTATTGGTTTGGAGACATTATTCTTCAAGTTGAGTAAATATCCACCCATTTCTAAATTACTTTAAAAAAATCACGATGTAATGTATTAGTTCATCCTCATACTGATAATCAAGAGATACCTGAGACGGGGTAATTTATTAAGGAAAAAGATTCAGTGGACTCACAGTTCCACATGGCTGGGGAGACCTTACAATCAGGGCGGAAGATGAAGAGAGAGCAAAGGGACTTCTTACATGGTGGCAGGCAAAAGAACTGGTGCAGGGGAACTCCCATTTATAAAATCATCAGATCTCATGAGACTTATTCACTGCCATGAGAACAGTATGGGGGAAACTGCCCGAATGATTCGATTATCTCCACCTGGCCCTGTCATTAACATGTAGGGATTATTACAATTCAGGGTGAGATCTGGGTTGGGACACAGCCAAACCATATAAATCTTTTTGAAATTTCTCAAGATTACTTTTTTTTTTTTAATTTATGGACTTGATGAACACATTAACAAACACCTTAACCTTAAACCATCTTTATGTTTTTTGAATAACCCCTTACTGCTACATACATATTTTAAAAGACAGTCACATTTGACTGCAGGTATTTTTATACCTTAAATTTCCTTTCAGAAACTGATTTGATATCTTGATTGAAAATACTGGAAGAAAAGTATTAACGTTCCATAGAGGGAAATCTTTCCCGTTGCCTCTTTTAAAATCACTCCCTGTTGGCAAAAGCACATTCTCAAGCCTTCTTCCTTCACTTGCATTTATTTACATATAGGATTGAGATTTCTCAAATTTTGTATTCATTTTACAATGAATTCTTTCATTGAAACTGTTGTTTTAAAAAACTGTTCTTAAAAAGTGTTTTCAGGTCTAACTCATACTTATTGAGAACTAAGCACCTTCCAGGTTTCAGGTAAGACTCATATATCTGATTTGAGGTCTGTGTGAGGTGTTCAACTTCAACTGGGAAGAGGTTTCCCTCTGTATGGAAAATCACCTCCCATGCTGGGAACTCTACCTGACGGTGTGATGTGTTTTTCTGTTCTGTGGTGTTGCTACCAACAATAATCTTTTGAAGAATTAGCCAAGTCGTTTCTGGAGTAGCTATGACAAGTGGACAATCCCAGAAGTTTGTACCTTGAGAGAAATAAGGCTTATGCTTATAAGAAATAAGGCTGCTGATACGCATGGAAATTCCAAGTAAACTCACGATACTTGAAATTTTATTTTCATGCTATAAATGCTGTCTAAGATCACACAAATTGTCTAGATCATCTGTCTCTCTCATTCAGATTCCTGATCAAGATACATTTCCTGAGTAATTGCTTTCTACTCAGTTTACTCTGGGAGAGTTAAGTATCATTAGGTCCACTAGCTTAGAGATTATTCAACTCAATCTTAAATACGCCTAAATTTATCCGGTCCTCTCCCTTCCCAAGGACACTGCATTTGTCCAGGCCTGCATCATTTTTCCCTTGGATTATTGTAATTGCCTCTATTCTGCCTTAACTGCCTGAAGTCTCATTGCTTTCCCTGCACCCCTTACAATTTATTTTCTACATTGCTCAAATAATCTTTCTTAAATGCATGCCTGAGCATGTCATTCCCTGCTTGAAATCCTTCAATTACTCTCAATTGCATTCATAATACAATCCAAGTTCTTTAGCAACAGCCACTTTAAATCCTTTCTGGAATAAGGTGGGACGTAGATACAAACATGGACACATGCTTCCCTGAGCTGCTTAGCAGGACATGTAAGGGAGACTCTTTGGAGGCTGGCCTCTTCCTCTCTGGCTATTTATTTTTTTTTTGAGATGGAGTTTCACTCTTGTTGCCTAGACTAGAGTGCCATGGCACGATCTCGGTTCACCGCAACCTCTGCCTCCTGGGTTCAAGTGATTCTCCTGCCTCAGCCTCCTGAGTAGCTAAGCCCAGCTAAATTTTTGTATTTTTAGTAGAGATAGGGTTTCAACATATTGGCCAGGCTGGTCTCAAACCCCTGACCTTGTGATCTGCCCTACCTCGGCCTCCCAAAGTGCTGGGATTACAGGCATGAGCTACCATGCCTCCTCTCTGGCTTTATCCTTCACCCTTTCACCTCTCACCCTCACACTCTCCAAGAACCCTGGTCTGCCTACCTTCCTGTGGAGAGATTATGCTGCTGCTCCCTCTGTGTGGAATTCACCCTCCTCCATCTTTCAAGCCTTAGCACAAATATAGCTTGCACTGCAGAGCCTTCCCTGAGAGTGGGTTTGGGACCCTCTTCTAGATTCACCTGGCATTCTGCACATTTCTCTATTAAGCACTAGCCCTATTCTTGTTGGTTTGCTTGTCTCTTACCAGATAGTGCATTTGTTGAAAATGGGAACTAGCAGAGCATTTGATGTTTGTTAGGCGCCCTAATCACATAGATGGTAGTCTTATTTATTTTTAAATACCATGTCAAATGTTTCAGATTGTGAAAAAAATTAAATGCCATATCATTTATTCCAGGCTCATCTACAATAAAGAAGACATTGCTTCTCAGAGACATCTGAATAAAACCATGGAGACCCGTCTAGCCCAGCCCATCCTGCTAGTTCAGGAACACTTCTTCTAATCTGCAGGCTGGTGGTCATCCAGTATTTGCATGATGCCATGGCCTGAAGTTACTGCATGTTACCATTCCTGGAGGGACTGCTGTGACATTTCATTGACTTTATTCAGTTGTTTGCTGAAAGTAGCTTGGGGAATGGGTACTCTAGGGTTTTTGCTCTTTCAGAGGTGTTGACCATGGACTTTTCCCTATGTCAGAGTAGTTTGCAAACTTGTGAAATGGTTAAAATATGTCTTGGGCAATTGTTTAGTTCTTCTTTTCGTTTTCTTGATGTGTTTTTTCTCCACCCAAGATCTCCAGTGCCCTGAGCTGCCTGAATGTCTTTACTCCCACTTGGCTTCCTACCACTTGGTCACTGTCTGGGGTTTACATTTTCACTTCCTGTAAAAATTGTGCTTTGTTTCCTTGGAAACATTTAGAACAGAACAAGTCATAGCAAGTAGTCAATGATTAACACAGATATAATTATTTATCAGTGTGCTTTTGGCATGTTTGTCGATTTTTTTCTACTGTAACCCTTCCCAAATAAACTTGTCATGATGGATTTTCAGACATCGGAAATGGGCTGATGGGGATTTTACAGGTGTTGAGACCAAGAAAAGTTATACTTCTCAGCTTCCCCATTAAACATGTCACCTGGATTTTCATCTATTTTACTTAAGTATTGATTTCTTATATAGATGAAACAATTCAAAGTAGAGCATCTCATAGAGCAAGTTCAAGCCTACTATAAACTGGTGGCTACATGCCAGGGTCTAATCTGGTAGAAGAAGCATGGCAAAGAAGTATCTGGGGAGTAGGGATATGCAGGTAGTGGGTAGATAATACCTGGCTATTAGGGGATCCTCCCAGGATCCAGTTTGGGACCCATCAGTGCTAATGACTCCTAGTGGGAAAAGGAGTCATATACAACCAAGAAGCTATTAAAGATCTCAGAGGAGGTTTTGCATTTTAGCCATTGGTTGATTCAGATGGCAAGACTCATCTTTAAGGACAATTTAAAAATTTTCCCTGTATCAGATGTTTTATAGTCTGCACCTTGGATTCTCAAACTGTCTTCACTGTAGCTAGTTATGAAGTGATTTTCCACACTGATAGGAGCTCAGGCGGAGCTTCCCTTCCTCGTTGCCAAGACCCTGAAGGCTCAACTACATCCTATTGTCTCTCTTCCTTAGAATGGTTGAGGGAGAGGCTACATAGAATCCTCTGGCTGGGTTAGGACAGCAAGACTCATTCCTGGACCTTTGTTTCAGCTTGAAATACACCACAAATTAATTGGGCTGATGCAGGTAATTAAGATCTTCACTTGGATTGTGTGCCTTTCCTCTGAAAAATTTCCTTGAGTTGCCAGATCTAAGCTTTGTGTATTGAAATATTAATGATTCATGACTTTTAAAGAAAATGTTTTTCCTTTGAATGGAATTCAGGGCTAAGAAAATGTTCAGATTGAAAATGGAATTCAGGGCTAAGAAAATGTTCAGATTGATTAGCACCTATGCTGTAGACTTACATATTTCTCCCTGTAATTGTGCATCATTTGCCATAACATATGTCTCAAGGAGTTCAATGCCAAACTTTCTGTAGATTCCCACTGTTATAATGACAATGATTTCTGGTGTCTACTCCCAAATGGTCTTGTAGCAGAGAGAGAAATATTCTGGGATATTTTCTAGATCTGCAGTCAGAGAAGACTCAACTTTGAGTACAAATATGATGGTAAAGATGGGCAACTTACAGTCAGTCAGTTGGAAAACAAGTCACCAATAAAAAGGATAGGATAATCCAAGTCCTTTGGCATTCTCTGCTGGTAGTTACCATTCTTTAGCCTGACCATATTTGTGCTTACATGTCTAATAAATTATGATATTGTCCCTTTTTCTCCTTTTTGATATACATGCTTCATATCTGATTCTAATTTTAATGCTTCTGATCATGAGCTAGTTGCCTGATCCTTAATTCTCATAGGTCCCTGATATAGTTTGGCTGTGTCCCTACCCAAACGTCACCCTGAATTGTAATAATCCCCATTGTCAAGAGCTGGGCCAGGTGGAGATAATTAAATCATGGGGCAGTTTCCACCATACTGTTCCCGTGGTAGTAAGCCTCACGAGATCTGATGGTTTTATGAATGGGAGTTCCACTGCACAAGCTCTCTTGCCTGCCACCATGTAAGATGTGACTTTGCTTCTCCCTTGCCTTCTGCCATGATTGTGAGGCCTCCCCAGCCATGTGAAATTGTGAGTCCATTAAACCTCTTTCCTTTATAAATTACCCAGTCTTGGGTATGTCTTTATTAGCAGTGTGAGAACAGACTTATAGAGTTCCTAAGGTTTAGAAGTTAAGCGGGGAATGCACCTTACCTGACTTTGCAAATTCCTACTGTAGTGGCATGGCAGAGGCCCCTCATCTTCTTCTGACAGCTAAGTGTTCTTTAATTGTGCACCAAAGCTCTTCTGTCCTCTCTTAGAATTCAGATCACTCTTGGTTGGAGAAGAGTATTAGCATAAACATTTAAAAATAAACATTGTTGAATTATATTTAATTACAATCAATCACACTTATTTTTCTCCTTTTTCTTAAAAAAAGTCTTCTAAATGGTTCAGTAGATGGAAACATGTTGCAATGAAACATTTAATAATAATTTGAGCTCAGCAGAGTAGTCTACTGTTACCTTAAGACAGCACTGACATTTGATTTACAATTTGGGAATTTTTAACAAATTTATATATTCATGTAAACATTAAACAAGTCAATATAGAGAATATTTCCATCTAAGAAAATGTCTTTATGCCCCTCATCAGCCAATCCTGCTCCAAGCAATTATTGATCTGATTTCTATATAATGGATTAGTTTTGCTTGTTCTAAAATTTATAGCATGAATCCTTTGCATGTTATTTTACTTAGCATGAAGATTTCGAGATTCCTTTTTATCACTGTATTTGACAGTAGCTTATGTAAATTGCTGGGTATATTTCACTATATGAATATATAACCATTTATTTACCCATTTACCCACTGATGAACATTTCTGTTGTTTCCAATTAGAGTTATGATAAAGAAATCTGTGTGAACATTTATTCAGGTTGGACTCCTTTTGAAGATTTGTGTTTCCAGTTCTCTTGGATAACTATCCAGGAGTAGCATTCTTAGATCACAGAGTGGGCATATTTTTAAATTTTTTAAGAAACTGTCAGTCTGCTTTGCAAAGAGACTGGCAGTTTCTTGTAATTCTTTTTTGTCTCCTTCCAGTTGCCAAGAGGCTGAAGTTCAACTACATCCTGTTGTTACTGTCTCTGTTTCCTAGAATGGTTGAGGGAGAGGCTTCACAGAATCCTCTGACTGGACTGGGACAGCAAGATTCATTCTTGCACCTCTCCTATATTGCTGCACATTTTCACAGGAGTGTAGGAGAGTTCTAGTCATTCCAAATCTTTGCAACATTTACAACATTTGGTATTGTCAGTCCTTCACATTTTAGTCATTCTAGTGGGTATGTGGTAGTAACTATAAAGTACTTTTTCATTGTTTTAATTTGCATTTTTATTTTGTCTAATAAGTACTTTTGTATATGCTCACTGGTCTTCTATACATTTTTTGTGAAGTGGCTATTCAAATAAATCCTTTTTTTTTTATTATTTGAGATGAAGTCTTGCTCTGTTGCCCAGGTTGGAGTGTAGTGGCATGATCTTGGCTCACTGAAACCTCCACTTCCCAGATTCAAATGATTCTCCGGCCTCAGCCTCCTGAGTAGCTGGGATTATAGGCATGCACCACCACTGCCAGTGTATTTATTTATTTATTTTAGTAGAGACGGGGTTTCACCATGTTGGCCAGGCTAGTCTGGAACTCCTGACCTCAGATGATCCACCTGCCTTGGCCTTCCAAAGTGCTAGGATTACAGGTGTGAGTCACCACGCCTGGCCAAATTTTCCATTTTCAATTGGTGTGTTTGGCTCCTTATTATTGAATTGTGAGTATTCTTTACATATTTTGAATCTAAATCTTCTTTGAGATATGTGAAATGCAAATATTTTCTTCCAGAGACCTTCCCATAAGTTGTTCCATCTCTGTTCATTGTTCCTTGTTTAGATTTGTGGGATTTTACTGTAAGCACACATAAACAGAGACCCAGGCAAACCTCTATACAGATTCTGGGTCTCTGCTGTGTAGATCTCTCCTTTTTGATACTCAGCCACACAAATTCCAGCCACCTCTAAACTCTGACTTCCGTCTTTTAAGCTCAAGGAGACCACTGTGTTGTGCTTGTTTCCAGCACCTGATTCACAAACTGCTTCCAGGCAGAAGGCCACTGTGATCCCAAGGTTCACTTTATTTTTAACTCTTTTCTCAGGGATCACAGCCCTGTAGCATCTCTTTGTTCAGTGTCCAAAAACTGTCTCATATATTTTCTCCAGTTTGCTAGTTGTTTATTACAGGAGAGCTAGTCTGATACCAGTTATTCCTGCCTTTTAGGCTACAGGCTGAAACTTTCAGACATTACTTGGAAACAAAACAAAATCAAATAGAAAAGTAGCAGATTAAGAGATTTTAGGAAATATAATTACTGCAGCATTAGTAAGCTCTAAAGATATTTGCTCAAGGAATGACTTAAAGGTTTATGCTTTATTTTTCTTACAATTTAAGGAAATATGCAGCCTATGCTATTGAAAGAATTATTAGTTGTTATTTTTCCAACGCATTTTGTTTCCAAACCTACTTATGTAAAAACAAACAAAAACAACCACAAAAACCCCCACAAAAATAAATTTAAGAAATACAATTGAGTTGATGTAGCTAGTATTACTTGCAGCGAAATGCCATTATTCTCTGGCTGAGCATAACGTGCCCTGCTCCTTCATGCATCTTTCCAAGTGCTCCACTTTCCACTTTTCTGCAGGCCTACCTGCACCATATTCAGAAGTTGGAGAATCAGCAAGGACCATGCATTTAATTGTGAAAGATAACGTTTTTAATCAATTATGAGGCGATAGTAACTATGCTGTGATCTATCTTATGTGATACTCATAACAACCCTGAAATAGAAATATAACTTTGTGACCTTCAACAACTTAATTAATGATTGTCAGTCTCAGCCTGCTCATCTGCACAATGGGATAATAAACAGATAAGCAAGGGTGTGAGCCTGGGCCATCACACTTCAGAAGGTGGACTGCCTGCTAATAATTTAGGAGAGGATTCCCCTAAACTAACCTCTGACTCCTCATTGTTTGAGCACATTTTTGTATACGTATAATACAACATATAGTGTGTACATTTCTTTTTTCTTTTTTTTTTTTGAGATGGAGTCTTGCTCTGTCACCCAGGCTGGAGGGCAGTGGTGTGCAATCTCAGCTCACTGCAACCTCCTTCTCCTGGGTACAAGCAATTCTCCTGCCTCAGCCTCCCGAGTAGCTGAGACTATAAGCCCATGCCACCACGCCCAGCTAATTTTTGTATTTTTAGTAGAGACAGGGTTTCACCGTGTTGGCTAAGATGGTCACATGACCTTGCGATTCACCCACCTCTGCCTCCCAGGTACTGGATTTACAGGCATAAGCCACTTTGCCCGGCCTGTACATTTCTTTGGCCCATCAAAACCCTACTAACATAGCATACAATAATGTCAAAGAAAGTTTAAATCCATGAGGTTAAAAGAATAGGAAGGATGAAAACAATGGATAAGAAATTTCTTCAACAGGTAGCTAATGAGAACTGGACAACTGGTTTGGTAAATGACTCTACAGACTGGAGGGAGCTGAAACCCATGCACCTGTACAAAATATGTGAATTAAAAATAAGCTTGTTTATGTAAATGAAATAGTGAATTTCAAGCAGCTGATTCCAAGGACAGAAGTAGGGAAGGCAAAAGTAAAGGATATGAAAATACTGAAAGACAGCATCCAACATTTGTCATCACATTCCAAGCCTTAGCCTAGCAGGAGTCAGGATTTACTTTCTGGAGAACACCAAACAAAACTGAAAATGAAAAAACGGTGATGATTTTGTCTTATATGAAAAACACAAACTAGGGCAAGGCTTATATATTGATATGTTACTAGGCTACTGGATGCCAAGTACATTATCCACAAATCAAGTTCCTTTAGTGCCCTCAGGAGAGGCAGTCAATGATTCCCTGGGGTGGAGGAAAAAGCCCCAGAGAAAGATAGATATGCTGATATTTGGGGCTTCCATAAACAAAATGGCTAGGTTCCTTCCCAGTGAGTCTACAATGAAGCTCGTCATCTCAAAAGCCTTTCTCTCAGATACAGGCAGTGATAGGTAAGGATCGCCAGACATGGACAGAAGTCACCACTTCAATGTGAAAGATGGGAAAAGGGTGGGGGATAGAGAAAGGGAGAGAGTGAGAGAGAGTAAGTAATGTAAAGGCATAGAAACAATGCAGGGAGCAGAAGAAAATTTCAAAAATATGAATAATATTCTTAGGAAAATAGGACAAAAATTTATCATGTACAAAAGGACTATATAAATAATAGAGAGTCATATAGGGCTCTTGGATACATGCACACCCTGCATGTGATTATAGATATACATATATATATAATTATACATATATATGTATAATTTGTATATGCATATATATATATGTATATATATAATTTGTATATGTGACTCTGTCCTGCAAACTCTAGCTGACAATCGTATCTGTCTATTGAACTCCAGGGGAATGCTAAGCTCCCTGGGTTCCCCCTTCCCTGTACTGCAAGTTTGAGGTTCTCCACAGGCAGTAAGCTGGGTCAGTTATAGAGGCTTATTCTGTTGTTTTCCTCTTTCAGGGTTCACTATCCTTCATTGACTGATGTCTAATATCTTTAAAACCATTGTTTCATGTATTTTTGTCCCAAATTTTAAAACTTGTTTCAGACAAGAAGGCAAATATGGTTCTTTAAAAAAAATTTTATTTTATTTTACTTTACCAGTTAATTTTTTTTGAGATGGAGTCTTGCTCTGTTAGCCAGGCTGGAGTGCAGTGGTGCGATCTCGGCATACTGCAACCTCTACCTCCTGGGTTCAATCCATTCTTCTGTCTCAGCCTCCTGAGTAGCTGGGATTACAGGTGTGAGCCACCATGCCCAGCTAATTTTTGTATTTTTAATAGAGATGGGGTTTTGTCATCTTGGCCAGGCTTGTCTCTAACTCCTAAGCTCAGGTGATCTACCTGCCTTGGCGTCCCAAAGTGCTGGGATTACAGATGTGAGCCACGGCGCCCAGCCAAAAATTGTTTATTTAAAATTTCTGTAGGCACATAATAGGTGTATATATTTATATGTTACATGAGATGTTTTGATACAAGCATGCAATGCATAATAATCACATCATGGAAGATGGGGTATCTCTATTCCCTCAAGCGTTTATCCTTTGTGTTATAAACAACCCAATTATACTGTTTTAGTTATTTAATAATGTGAAATTAAATTATTGGCTACAGTTACCCTATTGTGCTATCAAACAGTAGGCCTTATTCATTCATTCTATTTTTTGTACCCATTAAGAACCCCCAACTTCCCTTCTGAGCCTCTGGTAACCGTCCTTCTACCTTCTATCTCCATGAGCTTAATTGTTTTGATTTTCAGATCCTACACATAAATGAGAACATGTGATGTTTATCTTTCTGTGCCTGGCTGATTTCACTTAACCTAATGACCCCCAATTCCATCCATGTTTTCTCAAATGACTAAATCCCATTTGTTTTCATGGCTGAATAGTACTCCACTGCGTGTAAGTACCACATTTTCTTTATCCATTCACCTACTCAGAGGCACTTAGGTTGCTCCCAAATCTTGGTTATTGTGAACAGAGTTGTAACAAATGTGGCAGTGTAGATACCTCTTTGATATACTGATTTCCTTTCTTTTGGGCACACACCCAGCAGTGGGATTGCTGGATCATATGGTAGCTCTATTTTTAGTTTTCTGAGGAAACTCCAAACTGTTCTCCATAGTGGTTTCACTAATTTACATTCTTACCAATAGTGTCCAAAGGCTCCCTTTTCTCCACATCCTCACCAGGACGGGTTATTGCCTATCTTCCGGATATAAGCCGTTTTAACTGCGGTAAGATGATATCTTATCATAGTTTCTTTTTGCATTGTTCTGGTGATCAATGATTTTGAGCACCTCTTCATATGTCTGTTTGCCATTTATATGTCTTCTTTTGTAACATGTCTGTTCAAATCTTTTGCCCATTTTTTGATTGGATTATTAGATTTTTTTTTTTCTATAGAGTTGTTTGAGCTCCTTATATATTCCAGTTAGTAATCCCTGGTCAGATGGGTAGTTTGCAAAAAATATGGTTCTTTTTATTTCATCTTGGCTAGAAGTGGAAGTCACACATGTGAAACTTTGAAAAAATTAAAATTCCATAAAAAGTGGTCTCAGGCATTGTTAATAAATTCTAGCCTCTTGTTGAAGCTCTGATGATAAAGCCTCCATGGCTTTATCATCCTCCATGGATGAGGAAAACAACTTGGGTCTCTTCCAAAATT